TACTTGCCATGAGTAACATACCGGGTGTCATTTGTGGAGCAGAAGCTGATAACCCTTAATTGCACATGCATCCAACTACGGTATTTTGGTGCATGGAGTTGCTTGACTTAAGTCTTCATGCAGTGTTTGGATGTTATGTGCCTGATCTTGATTCTTTTGGTCATGGCACCGTTTGTCTTTTTTTGAATTATGGTTTTTAATTGCCTCCATAGTATCGTCTCCTCTAATTTGTAACCAGAAACTCTCATAACAAAACGTTTTAGATAGGCAAATATGCAAAAACACGTGGCATTTAGAATATAAGCTGATTGGCTTTGCGTCTGATTTCTTTACTCTGAGAATGAATGCAAGGGTATTAAGCACAAAAAGAAAAAAACTGCATTGAAATAGCTTTTTATCCTGTTATATAAATGTACTGGAGACATCTTAATGGGCAATATCACTCAAACTGCCTGAGTTTAAATTAAGAAAACTTCTGTGTCATGGAATAGTAATGTAAATTTACAACTGTAATCCACACAAGACACATTTTTAAGGCTTTAAGTTTTAAAAAGTGGGAATCTCAAAAACAGAATTCCATGAAAAACACAAGAAATAGAGAATAAATGTGAATGTTTGTTTAAAGATTTATGTATTAAAATAAGAATTTGACGCATTTAGGTAAGCGTGACGTATATCAGATAGATTTCTACAATACATTAAAAGTCACAAACCTTTAAATACATTTAGCGGTACATTACTTATTTCACAGGACGTCAACCCTGTAAAATATATATTTTATTATAGATATACTTAAAATTTTTAAAGCTTGAAACTGCACTCCTCTATTCAGTGATATCAAAATGGCTTTGTTTTTTATGCCGGTCTCTTTTATGGCTGACTATATGGTATGGGATTTGCTCATTGTTGATGACCATACACACCCTATAGTTGATTGTATCCTCGTTCTTTGGTATCTGATGGAAAATTGACCGTTTGACAATCATACCAAATCTTCTCATTTTTCAATTAAACAATAATACATAACACATCACAATCTAATTCTTCTAAACACCTATCCTCCTTTTTGACATCACACAATGCGATCGACTGATTACCAGCTTTAACAAAGAAATATTTACCCCTTCATAGAACATGAAAATTAACCGAGGATTCGGGGGTTTGTACTGCTCAATCTTTAGTTTTCTGTGTAGTGTTATGTTGACTGCTGTTTTGTCTTTGCGTGCGGTTCTCCCGATTTATCGATTAGGTTTGTAGTACCAATTTACAGCAGAAATATTTGAGTGCGTGAATCGTGCATACACAACACCGATGTTATGAGTTCGATTCCCGCTCGTGGCAGATGCGTTCGACTTCAATTATAATTGACTTTTACTATCAGCATTCCTGCCGATGTTCAATTGTTCTGTCGGGACACTTTGGCTTCCTTTACCTATAAAACTGACCGCCATGATATAACCAATAGTGCTCAAAGTGGCGTTAAACACCAACAATCAATCAATCAGTTGTGCATACAAGTTTAATTTGCATTAATGTTGCTTAATGATCTGTAGATTCTTTATGGTAGCTTATTTATAAAAGAAACCAACTGGCCAACAGATTTTTTCAGCCAAAATATATAAGAAGATGTGGTATGAGTGCCAATGAGACAACTCTCCATCCAAGTCACAATTTGTAAAAGTAAACCATTATATATAGGTCAAAGTACGGCCTTCAACACGGAGCCTTGGCTCACACCGAACAGCAAGCTATAAAGGGCCCCAAAAATGACAAGTGTAAAACCATTCAAACAGGAAACACTTATTAACCACATCAACAAACGACAACCACTGAACATCAGGTTCCTGACTTAGGACAGGTGCAAACAAATGCAGCGGGTTTAAACGTTTTAATAGGCGCCAACCTTCACCCTACCTGAAACAATAGTGTAACATCACAACATAGAAAGACACACTATAAAATATCAATTGACATGGCTTAACTCAATCAAAAGACATATTAACAAAAACAAATGAACATACACTGAACGAATAAATTTGATCTATGACACAATGTAAATACAAAATTAATATTAAGTTTATGTTACCACTGACTTATATAGCTTTTAATGATTGGTACTCTTTCAGTTTAAAGTACATAAGGAATATAGATGTTTACGTTCTACCTACAAAGACAGGAGACTTCACTGCAACATCGTATTACACACTAACAACCTATGCCCTTGAGTTACTCATATATGTATAAACCCGTATGAATACGGGTTTATACATATATGAGTTACTCATATATGTATAAACCCGTATTCATACATCTGTGAGTTACTGAAGGGCATTGGCTTTGGTGTAAACATTTGACGTCTAATGACAATATTTGTGTATTCGACAGTAAAGATAGTTACGAAGTAAATCCAGTAATTATTATAATAATAAATAAATAATAAATATCATTATTGTTATATCAACATATTTTAAAATTTGAAACAGCACTATTCTATTCAGTGATATCAAAATGGCTTTGTTTTTTATGCCGATGTCTTTTATGGCTGACTATACGGTATGGGATTTGCTCATTGTTGATGACCATACATCCCCTATAGTTGATTGTATCCTCGTTCTTTGTTATCTGATGGAAAATTGACCGTTTGACAATCATACCAAATCTTCTCATTTTTCAATTAAACAATAATACATAACACATCTCAATCTAATTCTTCTAAACACCTATCCTCCTTTTTGACATCACAGAATGTGTTCGACTGATTACCAGCTTTAACAAAGAAATATTTACCCCTTCATAGAACATGAAAATTAACCGAGGATTCGGGGGTTTGTACTGCTCAATCTTTAGTTTTCTGTGTAGTGTTATGTTAACTGCTGTTTTGTCTTTGCGTGCGGTTCTCCCGATTTATCGATTAGGTTTGTAGTACCAATTTACAGCAGAAATATTTGAGTGCGTGAATCGTGCATACACAACACCGATGTTATGAGTTCGATTCCTGCTCGTGGCAGATGCGTTCGACTTCAATTATAATTGACTTTTACTATCAGCATTCCTGTCGATGTTCAATTGTTCTGTCGGGACACTTTGGCTTCCTTTACCTATGAAACTGACCGCCATGATATAACCAATAGTGCTCAAAGTGGCGTTAAACACCAACAATCAATCAATCAGTTGTGCATACAAGTTTAATTTGCTATAATATTGCTTAATGATCTGTAGATTCTTTATGGTAGCTTATTTATAAAAGAAACCAACTGGCCAACAGATTTTTTCAGTCAATAGATATAAGAAGATGTGGTATGAGTGCCAATGAGACAACTCTCCATCCAAGTCACAATTTGTAAAAGTAAACCATTATAGGTCAAAGTACGGCCGTCAACACGGAGCCTTGGCTCACACCGAACAACAAGCTATAAAGGACCCCAAAAATGACAAGTGTAAAACCATTCAAACAGGAAACACTTATTAACCACATCAACAAACGACAACCACTGAACATCAGGTTCCTGACTTAGGACAGGTGCAAACAAATGCAGCGGTTTTAAACGTTTTAATAGGCGCCAACCTTCACCCTACCTGAAACAATAGTGTAATATCACAACATAGAAAGACACACTATAAAATATCAATTGACATGGCTTAACTCAATCAAAAGACAAATTAACAAAAACAAATGAACATACACTGAACGAATAAATTTGATCTATGACACAATGTAAATACAAAATTAATATTAAGTTTATGTTACCACTGATTTATATAGCTTTTAATTATTGGTACTCTCTCAGTTTAAAGTACATAAGGAATATAGATATTTACGGTCTACCTACCAAGACAGGAGACTTCACTGCAACATCGTATTACACACTAACAACCTTTGCCCTTGAGTTACTCATAGATGTGTAAACCCGTATTCATACATGTATATCTGTGAGTTACTGAAGGGCATTGGCTTTGGTGTAAACATTTGACGTCTAATGACAATATTTGTGTATTCGACAGTAAAGATAGTTACGAAGTAAATCCAGTAATTATTATAATAATAAATAAATAATAAATATCATTATTGTTATATCAACATATTTAGTTTGTGACAAAAACAAAAACATGTCATAAAAAATAAATATAGCAAAGAAATAACAATAAAAGCTCGGTTGTCTAACTTTGACGTTGTTGCAAGATGTTTCGATTTGCTCATACAATTATTTGATTAATTACATCCATTTATTACTTCCAATGTAATGTATGGTTAATTATATCAGAAGTCTTCTTCGTGTACCGACTACCATAAAAAACTACTGGTTTTCCATGTCAAATTTGTAATTCCATTTAGCAAATTTTAAAACCAAAGTGGTAGTTCGACAATACGGACTTAACATTTCGTCGTGTGAATCATAAAATGATGTTTTTACCATTTGTCTAACTGTTGGGAAATTGAATATGAAGTTTAAAAGCGCAGTATCATAAACATTTGATAGAGACATAAAAAGTTATATGGTAATTGAATTTACGTACATGAAGAGTAACTCTTTGTTCGACTGTTTTTTTTTATAAACAAACAACTTTAAAAAAAAGCTCTGACAAAAACTCGTAGGGTGTAAAAATCTCATGTTTAGGTTGAATAGGGAGATAGACCATTGTACTTGGATATCAAATATATTAATTATCTCCATTTTTATAAAAAGTGGCCGTAGAAAGTTTCTCCGTATTTGATGTTTTTGTATGCTCTTATGTTTTTTTTGTTAAGTTATAGCGATGAGACGAAGAACATCAATTAAAGCGCTGTTCCTTTGCTTTTTGTGTTTTTACTGTGGATATACTGATTATGTGTCATGGATGGGTACCCCATATCCTTTCTTTTCTATTATATATAACACGATTAGACTTACATGACGAATTTTGTTCTCGATCAGACTCCTGTAGAAGGTGTTGGACAACGTTTAAATTCTTTTAAGAAGATACTTCTAATGGAGAAATCTATTTTTGTTCTGTCTTTACAGAGGTTATATGACAAATTGGGAGAAGTTCCATAAAGGAATTCACCAGACAGCTTTATACGACCCAAAAGATCAAAGCATTGATGGTTTGTTAATGGATATGACTAACGAACCAATTATAGATGTAGGTAAGTAACAAAGAAACAGGAACCGGAATGTTACAAATATCTATTACCAGAATATATAAATTTCTTACTAACATTTTGTCAGATTACAAACCTTAACAGCACATTATTTTATTTACATCGTTCGTCTATACAGAATATAATATTGGTCCAAAGCTTATATTTTTTTTTAAAAAGCAGTGCAAGTTTGTACCCACTTTCGAAATTACAAATGTTGACGTATTTTATTAGGCTTTATCCCAAATCTCTAATTGGTTTATTAAACAACAATCAGTATAAAATCCCCATGTAATTCTTCTGAAAAAGCTACTTTTAATATTACAGAATGAGTTGAGTTGATGGTATTCTCGTTTACCCCACATTTTTTAGTCATACATAGTAGTAATAAAGTAAAAGAAAACAAATTTCATTAAACGAAAGAGGAACTATATCCGTACGAAAACCAAAAGGCGGTAATCTACTTGTGGTAACCGGAAACACGCCATACCCTTCCAGGGCAGTTGAGGTTATTCCCCCTTAGTATTTAGTTGGGTTGGTGTTTCTCAATATTTTATTTTCTGTGTAGTGTTTCGCCTTTCGTCTGCTGTCTAAAACATTTTTGAAAGACCGAGAAGATACTAAGGTGCAAAGAAATATCATAGGGTCAATAAAAACAAGACATCACCATGGCTAAAAAAGAAAAACGACGAAAAGACAAACAATAAGAAAATACTACACAGAACATTAAAGATTGAACAACATGAACTCCGCCCAAAGGTGGTTGTGAACTCATGTGATCTGGAAGAGTAAGTAGTTCCCGCCGACTTATGATTTTGTTTGGCTTCTTGGTATGTTCGTTCTTTTTTTCTAGCGATATGACCGCGCACCATGGACGTTAACCACGCATGTCTTAAAAACAAAATATCAATTTAAACAAAACTTGCTGAATACAAATCGTCATGTTCACTAAATGTTAATATAATTATAATTTTAATCAGTTGTTTCGTAATTTTATTTCTGATTAGATCAACAGTTGAAGTTGTGAGAAAACATAAAGCTTTCCAAAGTTCTCGTATGTCTTCCATTTGCTGTGACAGCAGACGATTAATTATTATCGCACGCGACTTCGTTATTTCATTATAATGCCGTTAATGGTGATTGTTTTGAATAAAGAAACATGTTAGGGTACTTAGTGCAGTAATATAACAGATGTTTTATCGGGAGTTTTTTTTATGACACATGACTAGGTGACAAGAGAGTAATCAAATATTCACAGGTAATTTTTTTTAACTATGTCGTGTTCATCAAATATTGATCATATTCTAATGCCTTTCGAAACAAGAAATGTTTAATCCGATTTATTCAGTTATAAAATGAGGAAGGTTGATTTAACCTTTGTGATATGCATGAATAGATGTTGTAAATTTGTGAGTTCGGTAAATATTCACGGTAATGACTGCATTGATAAAGCCGTGACAGATTTTCACCTTGTGCACTTAGTTGTCTTTTACTTTTTAATCTTGTCACACGAAAGTGCAAATGTTTTGCATTTTATTTAAATCTTAAAAAATGTAGTTATTGGTTTTTTCAATCTTCGATGAGCAAATTAAATCAGCAAAAACTACAAATTCATTATTGAAACATATATAGATTTATATATATTTTTTTATGATCATTTTATATCAGTTTTGACCTGTCTTTATTAATTAATGCAGTCATAGCATACGCGTTTTTCTGTTTAATTTTTTTGGATTTGTGCATGGCAAAAATACAATTTTACGTTAATGTAACACTATACTCTTATAAAATAGAAAATAAAAAAAATATTCCTCATTTTTATTATAGAAATGAAAGAAGGCGGTACACAACTGAAGCTGATTATAACTTTTAGTGACGAAGGACAAGCTTTATTTAAACCAATGAGGTATGAAATTTATTACCCAGATTCAAACACATTGATCAAAGATATGAAATTGGAAATGAAAAAAAGGATGATCTATAAAATGCGTCCTGGTTGTCATTAAACTCAATATTCATGTGTTGAATACAAAATATTTCCATTTAGAAAATGAGACCGTTTCAATAATTCAAACGTAAAATATTTTAGATATGAAGTTATTTAAATTTAAATGACAGATTTATAAGTTTGATATTTTCATGGTAGCTTAATTATTGCCTTCTTTAAGAGATTTTTATGATATTTGTACAGTGTTGCAGAACCATTAACAAAACACATAAGTCTTGCAATGACAGCTTTTTATGTATACCGATAACACATTAAATGGTTTCTTTGCTTATAAATATAACACATGATTACACCAGAAAAATATACTAATTAAGTTCACACCACATTAGCTTAAAGTACGTGCAAAAACTACGTATCATAAGGATATACATGTAACATTTGGAAAAACTACAAATGAAGAAGGCATAGGTGAATTAAATATTAATAAGTGATTAATTAAAAACTTATTACTTTTGTATTAGTAAATGTATAAGTCATCAAAATTACCGTTTATATGTTCTTTGTTTGTTCTATCAGAATCTAATGGACTATGGAGAATATTTTCATAATGCATTCACCAACATGTTGTGATTGGTTAAATACGTCCTTAACAATGAACTTTCAACAAATGACGTGATGTTAATCTAATTTTGGAATAAGAACAATCAAACTACCCATTGTCTGAAAGATTCTGAAATAGCTTCTGGAACACCTGAGATCACACTCGGTTTTTGAAGGGCTTTGTGTTACTCGGTCTTTAGTTTTCTATGTTGTGTTTTGTATACTGTTAACACTGGACACTTTTAATTTGCAAAACACTCATTTGCAAATCCGCCGCCGCCTCTCCTTAGACCTACAGTGTCGTGTAAATAACCAAAATGTGCGGAATTACATGGGATTCAATAATTTCATTGCTTTTCTGCTGTTATTATTATATATATTTTGTAATTTGATTTAGAAAAACATGGGATTTTCAATATCCCATGGGATAGGGCAAATCCCATGGGATTGACCATTATCCCATGGGATTTTGATTAAATCCCATAGGATTTTTTTGGGTCCCATGGGATAATTGTAGTCCCATGGGACAACAAATATCCCATGCGACTATAATTATCCCATGGGATTTTTAATATCCCATGGGACAAAATAAAATCCTATGGAATTCAAATTATAAATATACAGTAATGTGTATGTTACAATGAATTCTGTTTGGTAGTAAAAAGTTTATAATATATATATGAGTGTATTTTGTTTTTTTTCATTTTGTCACAAACATGTTTTTAATTTGTTTATATGACAATAAAGATTATTATTATTTTGGAAATATAATAATATTTAAAGTCAAAAAATAAAATCCTTTAACTGAAATAAAATGATGACGTCTTAATAAAAGAAAAAAATATTGATTTGAAATCTTTGTCTTCTTTGTTTTATTATGAAAAATAGAACTGAAAAAAATATTTCATATTCTGACTGAATAAATTGACAAAGCACAGTTAATAGTTTACTCTTTTCATGAGGTAAAGTTTTCTTTGTTATAGTTCCATTGCAATACATGAATATGCAAATGATTTGAATCTTATTCCTTTGTGGTGTTCATAATATTACATTTATAAATTTATAAAATAAACACTTTTCCTGTTAAGTTTTAGTTTTCTTGTTTCAGCTTGCTATGAACAATTATTCAGTCCACTATATAAGAGTCAAGTAAATAAATTATTTCATCCACTAGAATATTCCTACAATTCTTAGACAAAACATTTTTGCAATCTGTTCTTCAAAAATCTTCCTCCGTACATCTTTATTGGATGGAGTGATTTAAATGAGTGGACAAAGCAAGTTCATTTGGACAACAAAATACTAATATATTTTTTCATTCCTCCCTTCTTTCAATTGATAATTACGTTGTTGCATTTACATGATTAAGTTCTTGAGCATCTATGATCATGATGATATGACTCCTTTTTGTTTATAGTCATTATGTTGAAATTTCCTCTTTCTTATGTAGGAAAAAAAACACATTCCATTTCAAATTAATAAAAAAAGTCACACTATGTAGAAAAATATCAACTTTAAGTTTGCTGTTCAGTATTGACCTGTTGAATGATGATCATGAAAACCAAGATGTCTGACCTACAAATACACAAAACTCAAAAATTATAAATGAAGAGAAATACAGCAATAAAATGGCTATTTTATCATGTTTATGTACATTTTGATAAAAATTTCATTTGAATATTTAAAATTGTAAGAACTCTTATTTCAGTGCTTTGTGTCTATGGTTTTCATATTAGTTGTTTTTTGTGCCTTGTTGCAGTCTTTTGAGTTAAGCCAATTGCAACAAATGTTTACAGTTTGTTCAAATGTTGTGCTGTTATTAAAACCACTGTCCCAGGTTAGGGGTGGGTTGGGTGCTCACTAAATGTTTATTTTATTAGTTGATATTTGCTTTGAATTAGCTGTCAGTAACTGTGAGTACTAATAGATCTGTATGTTGAGTCTTTTTTGTTAAAGGGAAAGAATAAATTTCCAGCCACATCGGGTCTGTGTTTTTGGTAGCTGTCTTTCTGCTTTGTTGCATTCTAATGAGTTAATAAAATTGAGAATGAAAACGGGAATGTATCAAAAAAACCTGACCCAAGAGCAGAAAAAAACTCTTTTCAACTGATTTTATAGTTTTTATATTGAACTGACACTTACACCAATGTCCTTAATTAGAGGAGGATTTGGCGCCAGCAAACATGTTAAACTATGCCACATTTTGTAAGTGTCTGTCCCAAGTCAGGGGTCTATTATTCAGTGGTTGTCAATTGTTGCTATATATCATATTTGTTTTTTGTTTATTTTTTTGTGCAAAAATCAGGCACTTAGCTTTCACCTTTGTGGTGTTTCCCCCAAGCATGTTTAGCATGGATAGACACCATGCCCTTTTTAAATGACGCCATGCCCTTATTGAATTGTTCTACATTTGTTATTTCATGGCCTTTTATGGATTACTATGCAGTATAGGGTTTGCTCATTGTTGAAGGCTGTACAATGAACTAATTTTGTTAAATTTAATGTCATTTGATCTCTATTGGAGAAAAGTCTCAATGGCAATCGTACGGCTTCTTATTTTTATATCAACCCTGCCATATTTTGCCTGTCATTATTTACAGGTCATCATTGGCCTCTAATAAGTAATTGCATTGCTTACATCCACTTAATTGAACTCTGGTGGATAGTTTTCTCATTTATCATACCACATCTTATTTTCATAATAATCATTATTCAAGGGCAATAACTTTTATAGAAGTGGACTTACCATTTAGGCTTTGTTGACGTCTGTAAATCTATTTTTGTTGATAATTTCTTTTGTTTATAGTTTCCCTTTATCTTTAATGTTCTTGCCCTACACATAAAAGGGTAAACATTATCATTTAATGACAATAACTACTATTACATAATGAGTAGGCAACTGACAATTTTGGATCATTTGTATCTTGTCTTGCTCATCATTTTTGCTTGATATTATCAATATTCTATGAAAATGAGGTCACAGTAATATTAAACTTGGCAGACAGACATCTTCTTATTTTTATATGACACCTTGCAGTCATTCCATACACCAACAAGTAGACATATGCTTATAATATCTGATAAAATGAATAAAATGCTGGGCGCAGCTTGATACGACCCCCCCTTAATTTTTTGAACCCCCTCATGATTCATCACCCCAAACTCAATCCCAGCCTTCCCTTTGTGGTATGGTACCTTGCAGTACAATTTCAGAGAGATCCATACACTTATACACAAGTTATTGTCTGGAAACTAGAAAAATGCTTGTTTTTTTGGCCCCTTTTTGGCCCCAAATTCCTAAACGTTTAGGGCAATTACCCCAAAACTCAAACCCAGCTTTCCCTTTGTGATATGGAACCTTGTAGTACAATTTCATAAAGATGCATACACTTACACACAAGTTATTGTCCTGAAACTAGAAAAATGCTTGTTTTTTGCCCCTTTTTTGGCCCCTTATTCCTAAAATTTTGAGGCAATTACCCCAAAAATCAATCCCAGCCTTCCCTTTGTGGTATGGTACCTTGCAGAACAATTTCAGAGAGATCCATACACTTGAACACAAGTTATTGTCTGGAAACTAGAAAAATGCTTATTTTTGGCCCCTTTTTCCTAAACATTTTGGGCAATTACCCCCAAACTCAATTCCAGCTTTCCCTTTGTGATATGGAACCTTGTAGTACAATTTCAGAAAGATCCATACACTTACACACAAGTTATTGTCATGAAACTAGAAAAATGCTTGTTTTTTGCCCCTATTTTTGCCCCTAATTCCTAATATTTTGAGGCAATTGCCCCCAAAATCAATCCCAGCCTTCCCTATGTGGTATGGTACCTTGCAGTACAATTTCAGAGAGATCCTTACACTTGAGCACAAGTTATGTCTGGAAGTTACAAAAATGCTTATTTTTGGCCCCTAATTCCTTAACTGTTGGTACCATAACCTCAAAATCAATCCTTATGGTAAAATTTCATAGAGATCCATTCACTTAAACTAAAGTTAGAGTGCGAAAACCAATGTGTCTTATGACGACGACAACGCCAACGTCATACCAATTTTTTGGGGTCGTATAAAAAACCAAGAAAACTTAGCATTGACCAAAGAACCATAAAATGCGATCATGGTTATATGAATCTGCCAGACAGACATGCACACCTTACAATCGTTACATCCGCCAAATATAATTTACCTGTTGCTTAAAGCATATGATAAACTGACAAAACAATGCAAACTTTTCATTGACCAATGAACCATGAAAATGAGGTCAAGGTCATATAAAACATGCCAGACAGACATGTGCATCTCACAATCATTCCATTCACCAAATAAAGGGGCCTTATTCATGTTATTGCTTACAGTA